GATTCTTCGCAGTACAGTTTGCATGATATATAGCATATATACATTAGGTAAATATGCATGTCAGTGGAGTAGCTTGAAGATTTTGAAAAATCCGTATCCCGTTTCGAGGAGATTTTGTGTTCAGCTTGTTATCGACTTCCTTCCGTCTTTTCTTACTGCTTAATATTCTGTTAAGTATTATCATTGTTTTCTAACACGATATTTCTCGTGTAGCGCACGCAGGATTTTGCAACATTCATTGAAATCGTGATCTGTGCGAAATCTTCAAATACGTGCGACACTCACATCATCAACCCATTCCCTTCCTTTCCGCAGTTAATGTTATTACTAATCTCGTTACTAGGTAGTGAAATCCTTACATGATTATTACGACTTTGACTTCGTGCAATTAATTTATGCATTTTAGTTTGCTTGTTTGTGGTAGCCATTGCGCGAAACGTAGAGTACACGTACTAGAATGGGAAACAAAGAGACATCGAGTCGTAATGAGAAATTTAAACGATCTCTAGTTTCTACCGATGAGATTTAACTTCGAAATGGACTCTTTACGCATGATTAGTATTAAGTTCTGAAACGATGTTCAACGATGTGATATTTACAAAGTTCTCTGTGTGATATATTATTGGCCGATGAGGGGCGGTGAGGGGGGAAGGAAATTCGAGAAAGCATTAAGGCCCGTTTTACATTTGGGTACTGTTTTTTTTTCTTTTCTTTTATCGCCCACTATAAGTCACAAACTATATGTGGACAGCTGTCGATTTAGACTGGATGAAAAAGGATCGTCGCTGATGGCATCGACGAATGGCTTTCGCACTCCGGGACATCGAATAACGTGCTCTGCCTGTTCGTTTTACGAACAACGCTATTCTCTTTTTCATTCGTTTTCTTTCCTCACTCTTTTCTTCACTCAGTCGAATTCGAAGCTTCAAGGTCAACGATGCGATAAAATATATGAATTCCTTTCTTTCTTCATATAGCAGTCAAACTCAGTTAATACTGTATAAAGTCAGTTTTCTAACAATCGATTTTTTTTTTTACCTTTTCTCCAAGGATACATATAGTATATAATATATATCATATATATTATAATAATAATAATGCATTTTGTAGATCTTGGGACGTTCTCGTAATTATTTCGTTAAGTTTTGTTTGAAATGTCTGTATATCGTGACTAATATTAAATGTATTCAACCTCTCCGGATTCGTTCGTTTTTGCGTTTCATCAAGACAGACAGGGAATGGTCTTGGACTCGTCTTTACTCGTTCTTTTTCTGTTGTTCATTATTCGAGGAATAGTTTAAAGTTTAACAAAACGACAACGTAAGTTATACAATCGGTAGGCCCGTTAGGTTTTCTTTTTTGGAAAACAATAACAGTATCTGCACATATAACACGTGGTAAATATATATATATATAATATTTATATGTATATATAATATGTATATATATATACGAATATGTTTACAGTTTCACGTACACGCGTGTGTATATCTTGAATGAACTTGTGGAAACGGACGGTAAAATCGAACAACTCCCCCGCATAAGATGTGTGTTCGATTTTCTCGACAAATTTCCATAGATTCAATTCGGAGAACTCTAAGAATCGAAACGATACGACGCGAAGTCCGCGCGTTAACTTTATCCTAGCTTCGCTCGCAAGCGAGCTGCCAATTCGCGTCTGCTGATTATAACAATTTTATCCATTAAACAATTACAACTATGGAATGTATATAATAAAAGTATTATAATCGGCAGACGCAGTTACAACAAAAACTACCGTGGCACGTGCCAAGCGAAACCGATCAAGCCTATATTTCTTAAATTGTCTCTCCTCCTACGAGGAAGATTTCGTTTTTCTTCATTTTAATCGCCTTTCGTTCGTTTTGACTAGCCGAGTTCTCTGTACAGGTAGCGCATAATCTAAAGTCGTTAGGATACGAAGATATCGCGATCGAAAGCATTGCGTTTTTATGAAACTCAACTAATCGCGGATGTTAATTAAGTACGAGGAACAGAGATACACGGAAGCTGCTCTTCACTCTGAATATTATACAATCAAGTTGTTTGGAATAAACGAAACTACACAATGAAATTGATGTGGCGATCATTGACTCGAATCAAATACAATTTTCCGCAAGCGAACACGAGTACATACGTATATTCTATAAAATATTATTGAACGAAACTTTGCTACCGTATACACAATTCAAGACACGAGACTACTACATCGTATACATTATACGTCTGTATACCGAGTGTTTGGCTACTGGTGGGATGAATTTTAACGGGTGAGTCTACTAGCCAAAATAGGACAAAATCAAAAATAAAATATTGCGTCAGGGGTTTCATTCTTTAGTTATAATATATGGAAGCAATTAAAAATTACCCCTGCCGACACTGGTTTCCAAGTAGGATGTGCATCCATAAGTCTAAATGCCAATATACCTCACAGCGGTTACTGTTACGTCTGACGCGCTGTACTTTGAACTACTGCCTGCACGGTGACGGTCCTCTGACCAGCAGTGATCTCCAAAATGCAACGTACTCAATATGATGGTAATCGATAGGAATTATGTTAGCATTTAGAGTTCTAAACGCACGTTGCCCCTGAGAACCACAGACGGTAGATAGGTTTGCTTACCATTAGGTGCAATCGTTTATAACTAAAAGATGTACGTTTTCTATTCTCAACTTCTGCCTTATTTCGACATTTTGAATCAACTCCTTAAATTTTTCTCACCAGTAGCCGAACGTCCCATATACATTATATCTCATATACTATACACATAAAATATATATAGCACACATCTATATGTATAAATATATAATATGTAATAAATCTAACGGGATCGATATCTTATAAAACGTGTGTTCAATTGAAGAAACGCGATAAAAATGGAATGTATCGGAGAATGTATCCAATGTAGAAGTTGAGGGGTAGGATGAAAAAAGTATCCAATGCTTTGTCTCGAGATATCTCGAATAAGGGACGCGTTTAGTTGAAATCATTGAATAGTTACATCTACAGAAGAAGGTATGATAGATATACGTATATACAAGACACTACACTCCATGAGAACATATTAATATTATATTATTTTAATTCTAAGACCATTTTTAGTAGTATTTATTGTTGTTGAGTTTAGTAATAGATTACTAAATGTCTAAACTAAGGTATATCTTTTCTTATTTTTCTCTTTTCTCTTCTCGTACTTAGTTTCTCTCTCTCTCATTCTCTCCCACCCTTTCGCGCGCGCTCTCTCTCTCTCCCACATGCACATAACACTTTTATTCTCGTGCACGATTATACTCTCTTTTCCTTCGGATAAAGTCGATCGGTTACATCGTTGCATCCCATTGTTTTCTTTTCAATTTCTCTGTTTTTTTTTTATTTCTCGCGTATTCTCGTTTCTTTCATTTTGTTTGTCCAGAAAGATCTTGCATCCTCGTTACGGTTACATCGTCCACGGACATATCGTTGGAAAATATATGTATATATGTATATATATATACTCATATAGTATATATAGTTTGTCGAATGGGTCGAAAGCGGAACGCAAAACGGAACGTAACGAAAGAGAGTAATGCTTCTGTACATTTGTCGTATTCTGCTTAGAACCATTTGGTGTGTGCATTACCTTTTCAAACTGGACATCTGATCAACGGTTATAGAACCCATTTAATCCTTCTTGTCGCCGTCCTCCGGGTCCTTAAGCGTATGCCATTGAGCGATAGGACGTCTCGGGGATGCCAACATGTCGGACCAGTGTCTCAATTCTGTTCCACTCGCGTTGTACCCCAAGACGACCTTCCCAATGGGTTCTGATGTGCCGATACGATCGTAGTCGACTACCGTGACAACCAATTGCACTTTCTAAACGTGAAATCACGCATTAGTGCAATACTCATTTATCACGGCCTTTGCTTCACAGCGTTACTTCCGGATCGCAAGGAAAATATTGCAAAAAGCTATAGTAGTAGCAAAAGTAGTAAAATATTGAAAGATAATATTTGTACAAGGTCGATCATATTAAAAGTTATAAGATGTATATATAGAATGGTATTGTATTATACATTTGCAAATAAGAGCAAGGAGACTGTAGTTAAAAAAATCTAATCTATTGAAATGCAAATATTATGAATACATAGTAGAATGTTGATTATGTGTATATCATGTAAATTATGAATTAATAATGAAATTCTGTTTCATTGTACATATTATTGTTAATATTTAAAATCTACGTTCTACTATTTTAAAATACTTAAAATGAAAAATATGGAATAGTAAATCGTATGCAAGCAACGAGCAGAGCTTGTTTACCAAACTTACATGTTTTGATTCAGTTTTAAAGTAATATTCCTTCTGTAGATTCCTCTCTGATCTTCGATTTAAAAAGCATGCAAGAAGCGCTTAAGCGTAAATTTATTAACAGCGCATTACGCTTTATCATGTAGCAAAGAGCATTGAATATCAAAATGTGAAGTCTTACGATCCGGAAGTACGTCAGTTTGAAAAACTTAGTAAATATGTTGAACCCTTCAGAAAGTATCTCTTCCTATCTTTTTATAAATTTCTTTTATAAAGATATTGGAAGTAACGTATGAAAGTTTGCAAAATATTACCGTTTTAAAAATAAAACTTACATAGAACTTTCTTGTCGTTTTATAGAACACTCTAGAATCTAAATTAATAAT